TTTTTTTTTTTTTTTTTTTTTTTTTTCTGGTACTGGGGATCGAACTCAGGTCCTACTAAGCTAAACCTCCGGCCCCTATTTGCCTTTCTTAAATGAGTTCTGATATGCGCTTGTAAAAATACAAGACTGAGGCCAATTTAGGGAACTATATTAGCCCAAAGGTAGTATTGTTCCAAATAAGTAACTTGAGTTAACTGAATTTAGAACATTTGGGAAGGATTCAAAATTTAAATCATTCCCTACTTTTAAATAATCATGGAAGGGCCGGGGATGTAGCTCAGTGGTATGGTGCTGCACCTGCCTGGAAAATGCAAGGTCCTGAGTTCGATCCTCAGTTACTCCACCACCACCAAAAAAAAAATCATGAAGAATCTTAAGTATAGTACCAATGAGTCAAACTAGTAAGACCAAGATAAAAACAAACATACTCAGAAATTAGCCACACAAATGGAATGTAAGGTTTCAGAAGGTATTAAAACAAAAAAACAAAACAAAAAAAAAACTCAAAGTATAAGGTTGATGACATTAGTCTGAATTCCAAATACTTCATAAAAACAGCTTGCTCAGGGTTGTCAGTGGCAGTACCACATCTCTGATATTTTCCATCAACTGCACTCACAAATAGATGAAGCACCCATCATATGTAAGGAAGATAATGCCTGGCTAGCAATATCTTTCCCTGTCATCTTTGAAAAATATTTATCAAAATAAATGCTGAAGTCAAGGAAATATTAAGATGACAATCTAAAAAAGAACATCCTAAAGATATGGTATCGTGCAGTTTAGTCTATAAAAAAAATAAGTAAATTAACTTAAAATTAGTGCATTGTTAAAAAAGACTAAAACAGTTTAATGCAACCATGTTGGTAACAAAATGAAAACATTACCTGCTGCACATATCTGTCAGTAGTTTTCCACATGTAATAATATTCAATGATGCTCGTCAGCGATTTCCAAGGAAGCTGAAAAAATATTTAATATGATAATGAAAACAATATTGTATAGAAAATGCTCTCCTTTAAAAGCACTTCTTTTGGGCCGGCAATTTAGCTCAGTGGTTCTGCTGCCTGCCATGCAAGCTCAAGGACCCAAGTTCGATCCCCGGTACCAAAAAATAAAAAATAAAAGCACTTCTTTTAAGGCAAATATTCATATGGAAGACTGACTGTATGCTTGAGGTTCACTTTGTCTGAAATTAGAATACCTACTCCTGCTTTTTCTGGCTTCCCATTTCATGAAATACTGTTTACCATCCTTTGTATTTTTTTGTTGTTGTTGTTTTTGGTACCAGGGATCGAACTCAGGTCCTTGTGCTTGTGAGGCAGGCCACTGAAACGCTGAGCTAAATCCCCGGCTCCGAAAATTTTATTCTTAAAAAATGTTCTGAGAAAACCAAAATTCTTACCAAAAGAGACCCCAAACAGCGAGAGATTCAATGTATTGTTTTTTATCGATTTAATTTAAAATTATAAACAGGGTGGGGATTTAGCTCAGTGGTTCCTCTGCCTGCTCTGCAAGCATAAGTTCCCAAGTTCAATCCCTGGTACCCCCCCCAAATATATATGAACATGATGACTGATAATATTTCATAACTGAGGAAAGTTCTTGGGTTACAAGTGGAGCTGCAGCACAATTTTAGAAATGCTATTTAAGTGGCTTTAGCCTGAGTTACTCTAACTTCCAAGGATGACAACTACCACTGTCTTTTAGCTTCTGGCATATTTCTTATCCTTTTCAAAATCACTCTGTTTTGACCTATTTTGTTACAAATAAAACAAAAAGGTAAGTGTATGAAATAGTACACAGCCAAGTGTGCTTTCTATTAGAAAAACATTAAGGTCAGTATTGTTTTTTTCCATAAACATTCAAAAATGGCCAGATGAAATCGTACTCCCGTGCTTTGCAACCAAACAATATATTCAATATGCCCCTCTGTAATGGGGGATATTAACCATCCACGATGCAAAAATCAGACTTTCATAATGACACAAACAGTGGATAAAACAATCCTGAGCTGTGGTAGCAGATTTTACAGAGGTGACTCAGCCCTACCACACTGCACCCACACTGCTCACAGCTGGGGTTCTGCTTGTGGCCACCTGGATAAGATGCCTGCCAATTCCTCTCACATCTCCACTGAACTTAACTGTTTGGTCTGAAGAGAAAATAGATGAATTTTAGAGAAAGAAAATTATTCTAAGCTTAATTGGGTGCTAACTCCAACAGTAGCTACAAACGTGGTCCTACAGAACCAGAACAGTACAACCACTAGCTCTCATCTCCAGCTAAAGCAAACAATTTTCGTTTCTTTTTTTAAACCCAATGTGATCATCTAATAGAGTTCAGTAAGACCTGACAGGACAGTCACAGCACTTTCCTAAGGTTTTTAAGCAAGCTAAGACCCTTACCACCTTCTTCTGAGGAATAGGCTCTGGTGTGCATTTACCTGGAAACCTGAGAGAAAAGACAGCCAAGTGACCGTGTAAAAACTCAGTTTATTTCATCCAGTCCAGAAAGTTCCAAGCAACTGTGCCACCACCAGCATGCTTTCCCTGAGGTGATGTGGTAGGCTACGAGGGCTGCCATGCGGGAGCATCCCAGAATGTGCTCCTGATGTAGAACCACTTCTCCCTCGGTCCTCACCAACAGCATTATGGAAGTTCCCTGTGACACATCCACTGAAGAGAAACATCTCAATGTCGCTGTGGTTTTGCATGATTTACTTGTAGCTGCAGAAATTATACTGCGGCAGCATTTCAGCCCCATGTAGCAGCAGCCCTGAAGCACAGTGAAGATGGAAGCTCCTTTGGGTTAGAACACTAAGGTGAACATCTGGATTACTACTTTTAGTGGAAGTTAAGATGATCTCTTAAAATTACAATCAAAAGCACTCTCGCTAATACAAAAGTGGTAAGCAGCAGCACATTCTTTTTTTTTTTTTTTTTTTGGTTTTTGAGAGGGTCTCACTATGTAGTTTAGACTGACCTGGAACTCACTATGTAGCCCAGGCTGGTCTCCTCCTGCCTCAGCCTCACAAGTGCTGGGATTACAGGAGTGCACCACCACACCCAGCAGCAGCACATTCTAATAATAGATTCTAGATATGTAACACCAACAAGAGTCAAGGTGGAACAAAAACAAACACGACTGGTGGTAGATGCGCCAGTTGCTGAGGTGGGATTTCAGACGGCACAGGCTGCCACAGGGTTAGGCTCTACTCTTGGCTTCACTGCTTCTGGTTGTGAATCATCTGAACCTGGATCATGGGTCCTCTAGGAAGTTCTCTTATGCTTCCCGCTCTAAGCAACACATTTTGTTCTGAAAACTAGGACAGTCAAATGCATTCTGTTATCTCCAACTTGGGCTTCTTCAGCCCCCTAGGCCCCCAGAATTTTGTTAGTTTACTTTCCTATACTGCAAACACTATAATCCTTTCTAAAAGTTCTTTGTTATTTATTTCTCCTAATCAGATACATGTGTTTAGACTCAAATTCAAAACAGCACTAAGCAAGGTGGGGCTGGGGATGCAATTCAGGGCAAGAGCATTTGCTAGCATATTCAAGTCCCTGGGTTCAACCCACAACACTTGCAACAACAACAATAATGAAATTATCTATTGAGAAACAAAGGTCATAATCTATAATTATAACAGATGCATAAAACATCTTATAAATTTAACATCCACTCATGAATAAGAACTCTCAGAAAACTAGAACAGAAGGGAATTTCCTCAACTCAACCATAAAGCCCATCCAAAACACCTACAGCTGACCTCACACCTAACAGTAAAGAAAAAATAAAAACACTGGACTTCAAGTGTGTGCTGATAAATGAACCCAGGGCCTCAGGCATGCCACTTACTGAGCTATACCCCAGTTCAACTTTGTAAATACACAAACACATAACATATATTTGAATAGGAAAACCAAGACACTGGAATTGAGAACATTTATTTCTGAAGAGTATGGAGATATAAAACGTAAAACTGACCATTATGACACAGTTGCTCAGGGCTCAAATAAAGCTTAAATAATGGAGGAAAGGAAGTCATGAAGAGTTTATTTTGTACACAGTACCTGGTAATTTTTAGAGAAAATACTTATTAAAATCTCTGAGCATTACAGTGCTCAGTACAACATATACATCATGTACATTTTTTGGCACTATAGGCTGTATGTGTGTGTGTTTTCATGTTCTATTGAGTGTATATAGTACTTTCAAAAGAGGGGAAGCCACTTTTGGTAGTGTGTCTATAATCTCTGACTGGACAATTCAGTGATTTAAGTGAGACCCTATCAAAATATAAACTTTAAAAAAAGGGGCTAGGAATATAGCCTTTTCCACCGACTGGAAGCACCCAGAAGCCCGGGATTTGTGTTTTGCTCTCTGTCCACATGAGAGATTGTTTGTTAAATGAACAAATAAATGAATGACTTCTCCCCGCCACCAAAAAAAGAGGGAAGCTGGGTATGGTGGCCCGTGCCTCCAATCCCAGCACCTGAGGAAGCTGAGCCAGGAAGACTAGGAGCCCAGCTTGGACAACTCAGTAATTGAGGGAGACCTTGTCACCAAAAAAATAAAAGTGCTGGGGAAGCTCAGTGCACAGGCACTCAGTTCAATCCTAGATACTGGAATGAATGAACACCCTAAAAATACCTACCTCTATAAATAAACACCAAACTCTTGGAACAGTTCCTCTCTTGACATTCTAGCTTGTTCATTAATATAATAATGCTGTTGGGATTTTTGTTGCTGTGGTTGTTACTGTGATGATTTTTAAAAATTCTTAAAATTCGTAGCATAGTATATATTAGTTTTACTTTTGTTGTACTCCCGTCTGCATGAAAAGCTTACTGAAAGGGGGGAATGAAAAAAAGACGTTATACTGGCCGTCTAAGAATGACTGTTAAATTGTACCGCAGAAGAGGCTATGAAGAATGCTGTCATCACTGCTGTGACCAGAAACCCAACTACCAAACTGGAAGGCTACCTTTCTACCTCTGGCTCCAAGATGCTGTGCCTCTACCATGAACCCTACAGGGCTGATGCTTTTTGAATCAAATCTGTCTCTTGCCATTATGTCTATGGTACAACCCAAATTATATCCAGAATCTTAGATGCAAGGGAATCTGGGACGTGTGGATGGTAACGCATACACTCCCCTAGAATGTGGTTTGAACATGTGGTCGTTAGGCCCATCCATTTTAGATGTGTTGTATTTTAGAGGCTGGAATTAGCCACTAGTATCAAAAACCTCAAAATGTTTTGTTAGATCACGAAAGTAACAACAAAAACATTCCCAAAGCATTATTATATTCATATAGTAACTTTACTTTGTGACAATATTAGCTTCTATGTCCAAAAATATTACGCCAACACACTGTTCAGATTCCTTTCCTAGCTCCCTCTTAAATGTCTGGGAATGTGTCTGCAAGTCTTATACCTCAGTTTTGACTTTGTCATGTACTCTTCTCTGCCTTTACCTTCAGAGATCTGGCTATAACGCCAGGTACTCCTTTAAGCCTCCTTTAACTGGCACAACTAGTTATTCCTTCCCAATTCTCCAGAATATGTTGTCCACTGATGGGAATGTATTCCTTTTTACTTGGGTGTACTCTTTTCAATCTCTTGATCCTAATTCCCTGAAGGCAGAGTCACATTAAATTCCTGTTGCATGCACTGTTAAATGAACAGAAGGGCCTGGCAGCTTACAGGTGCTGCAAAACATTTGGTGAAATGAACTGATCTCAGAATGACCATTAGAACATAAAATGAGGCGTTATATATACCTGGTATAAGACAACAGTGTGTGTGTGTGTGTGTGTGTGTGTGTGTGTGTGTGTGTGTGTGTGTGTGTGTGTGTGTGTGTGTGTGTGTGTG